AAGACAGAAAAAGATCCTTTTCCAAAGTTGACAGAAAGCTTTTCCTTAGAGCTGGTGGCCTTTTTCAAACTTCTAACCTCCTAAACCATGGGCAAGTAGATTTCTGTTGGTTTAAGTCACCAGACGCTCAATGAAAGTAAGACGGGTCTTTGGATGAGCATTCGTATGGAGTGTGAAGATTTTCAAATTCTGGGCCCACTCCAAGGAATTCATTCACACACCTCATCACCAAGCCTCTCTGACGTCAGTCCTCCAACCTGGATTTATTGACTCCCTGACACTCTGGCCAGACTATGAGCCACTGGTGGAGTCGGGCATTTCCTCTTCTCAGGCCAGGAGAACACTGAGATAGATGCACTGCCCAAGAGAGTCCTCACTGTGCCCCCTGGTGGCCACCGGTCACCTGATCATCAGAATGTCCGCTTTGATCAGATCTACACATCCTCAAAACCCTGCCGTTGAGACTCACAGTCCCATCCAACACCCCACCCCCAACAGAAACCACCAGCCTGTCTTGTGCTCTGCTGAGCCTGCCACCAACTTTGTCCTAGGCCCCCTTTCTCCTCCTCCCTTCACTGCCCTTGGCAGCTGTGGTCATACACCTGGGGTTATAGGTGCTTCCAACAGTACTAGAAAGGAACCCTAGTAGGGTCATGGGTTACACATTGGACAGCTAACCACACAGTCAGCAGTTCAAATCCACTAGCTGCTCCACAGGAGAAAGATGAGGCTTTCTGCTCCCATAAAGACTTACAGCTTCGGAACTGACTCAATGGCACACAACTATCCTCACAGTGCCAGACAGCTGTTTACCCCTCCATACCCACCACCTGGATCCTAAGACCAGCTGACACCAGAGGACAAGAGTCCCCTGCTGGAAACTGGAGGGCGGTGGGAGAGAGGCTGGGTACAGAACCCTCTTCACGCCTGCATGGAAAGAGAAGATGAAAAAGCTCCATATCATCAGTGAAAATAAGGCCAGGGGCAGACTGTGGAACAGACCATCAATTACTCACTCATATGCAAATTCAAACTGAAACTGAAGAAAATGAAAACAAGTCCACGAGAGCCAAAATATGACCTTGAATTTATCCCACCTGAATTTAGAGATCATCTGAAGCCACAGCATCTCAGTGCCGCAAAGGGCAAAGGTCGCTGCTAGCCTGGTCCCAGGAGGTCTTCCAGTCTCTACTGCTGCTGGAGAGTCAGCCCCCGCCCATCTGCTATGACACTTTGCACTTTTTACATGAGAGAAGGCTCAACACTGACTCAAAACATTTTCTCCAATGGGGGAGCAGTTTACACCTCTCTGCAAAGAGCAGGGTTGTATTTATGATTCGGAATAGTGAAACCCGTAGATTTTAAGCAGTTTTGTATGCAAGAAAAGTTTCCTGACCAGGGGAAGAGACAGGTCATTCACAATGTGCAAGTTAACTTCCGAGTCATTTCAACTGATGGGGTGAAACGGTTTTCATTCCTTCCCCAAATTCCAATCACCACCACCATCATTGTGACCCTGGCATGGACACTTGGTGCTAGGAAAGCTGGGTTTCTTGACCTTTTGCTCCTATTTCCTTTATTTTTAACAGTGGAAAATTAGACATGATTTCAGAGATTTCCCTCAGTGAGGAGTTGAGGGAGGAAATGCAAAAGTTCCCTTTAACTGTAAGCAGGCAACTGCCTTGCTCCCCTTTCTGTCCCTTGCCCTCGCTGGATTCCTGCTGGGAGATCTCTTCATCTAGGTCACCATCAGGGCAGGTGATGCCACCAGGACGGGTCTCAAGGACACAGGTGTACACAGCAAAAGCATGTAGCCCATAACCCAGTGATCTCTGGATCGAATCCATTGTCTGCTGCAACACGCTCTTTCTGCTGGGATCTTTTTGCACTGGGTCCAGAGGACCTTCCTAGGCACCATCTCCCTGTCTGTGTCCCCATGTTCCCATCAAGGGGCAGACGGCAACAGCCTCTGCAGCAGCTGGTTCCATGGTGTAATGGTTAGCACTCTGGACTCTGAATCCAGCGATCCGAGTTCAAATCTCGGTGGAACCTGAGCATACATTTTGCTCTCCCTCTTCCCTTTGGTTGGATTTTAAGAGCTTCACCTTTCCCCTTCCACCCCATGACTTTGCATCTGATGACACCCTGTGGTGGAGCCTCAAAGTCTGTGGTTCTATGGTGTAATGGTTAGCACTCTGGACTTTGAATCCAGTGATCCGAGTTCAAATCTCGGTAGAACCTTGCTGGGGCCTCGCCCTTTTACCAGCCTTTTCCCATCCATCCCTGTTCTGTTGGTGCCTAGGCTGCCAGGGAGGGAATCACCGTTCGGGGTAGGAGAACCAGGCCCTCCCTCATCCCCAAGCACCGCCCCCTCCCCTAGCACACCCGGCGCTGGTGGGTGTACGTGTCCCTTTCCCATCTGGGTGGGTTTGGGTAGCCAAGGGACGGAGAGTTCTTTCACTCATGTCCAACCAGCCCAGCGTGGTATGTGGTATGTAAACGGCACCTTCGCCAGGACTTCTAACCCTAACCCTCTAACGTCCCTGCGCGCTCTGGTTTTGAAAAACATGAAAAAGGATTTTGTCCTGGACCTGCGGAAACGCAGCCATTCCCACCGAATGAGAACTGCACTTACGAAATGCCGTGGGGAGTGGCCAAGGTGACTGGACTGGCTAACTGGCTGTTCCTGGGACACCAATCCTTGATAAACACGGTCTGCCCGCCCATCTAGCATACAATACAGGTTTTGCCTGCTTTTTAATTTAAAGATTCCAGCCCTAGCTCTAGTTCTTAATACATGACTATAATTCACAAACCTGAACTGAGGAGCTATCTTCTCTTGCCAGTTTAGGGCTTTACTGCTTTGGACAAATGCTATGCTTGGGCTTACTGACAGGGAAGCCAAATGCTTATGAGGGACCAGGAGGAATGGAAAGACAGATGTTGGGGTCATGGGACCTCTGCCAGGTTGGAGCTTGTCAGTGTGGTGTACCAGCTTCAGCGAGGAAGTCAGCAGCCTGGGCTACAGTTTTCTCATTAAACGTGGGGACAAATGCTCTGATGGTAGGACCAATGTGGACAAGTGCCCAGAAACCTGTGTTCCTTGTTTCAAGCCAGCAGGGAGGCCATGAGACAGACAACTTCCAAGTTGGTTGTGTACGGTGGGAGCGTATCGAAAACAATTCTCTTACTCCATATATTGCATCAAAACTAAATTAATGGTGAAGGCAGAGTGAACGAGCACCGCTCAACTCCAGTGAAGCTGAGGAGGATCAGAGTGGACAGGTTGTGTACACTGGCTTAGGCTAAGTGGAAACAGAACTGAGAAATCTGAGTTCTGACACGGTCCAGACTTGGGCTCTGCCAGCCACTGAGAAGCAGAATCATTCACCAAGATGACCAACACTAGATGTGTTCACAGTCCACTGGAAACACAGCAGCGCCAGAATTCAAAGGTGGCGCTCGTTGGTGTGCAGTGGTGGCTGGGACAGGAGTCTGGGATTACTGGTCTTCCTCCTCCCTCCCTTGTCTAGCTGACACTCAGTGGCAGCCACCATAGACCAAGCCACAACACTGCCACTTATGCGTGTCTCCCCTTAGCTGTCCCTTGTATTGTTTTAGTTATAAGGAAGGAAAAGGAAAGGACTTTGCACCCGAATGCAGAAGTGACCACGCCTCCCTCAGCACCACGGGGAGACGCTGCTGCTTTCAGAGTTGGTGTCTCCACTGTGGCCTGCAGACGGTAGCGTTTGAAACAATAGAACGATCAGGCTCCAATTTCTGGGCCTGGAAGTCTAGGTTGCTAAGTTTTTCCTTGGAGTGGGACAGTGTAGGTAAGTCTTCTGACTCCGGTCAGGCGATGGCTCCAGATGTGCAATGGATGCTAAAGCACCCTTCACGTGACACACACCCCTCCCCCTCAGACTGGAGACATGCAGACTTGCAGATCTCCAAGCATTTATTTCATAATCAGTTATTCAAGGGATGAAACCCAATTATATAGATTGAAAGCAAAAAATATATATATACAATTTACCCTAATAGCGCCAGTTCTCAGCATAGAGCCGTCTAGCTGGTGCGGTCATCTGCTGAGGCTGGAGAATGTCAGTACTTCCCCTGGTCAGAACCAAGTGCTCCCCAAACCAACTCGAGGGCTAGTCCCAGATTACTCTAATTTCACAGGATGAAACCACCGAATGATGTTATCACTTACAGCTGCAGAGGTGCTTCACCAGTGAAGAGCAGTCCACTGGTCTGGAAGCAGCCAGGTTGGAGGCAAAGGAAGACAGGGAGGGGGTCAGAGGGAGGCAGTCTTCCCGGCCTCAGAGCTGGACAGGGTCTCACAGACTCCATTCACACCCAAAGGACTGAAGGAGAGGCTGCCAGGCTCAAGCTAGCCTCCCCACTCTCCTGCTCCTCTGTCCTCTTGTCATTAGTAGCCCCCCATCAGGTACTGCTACTGCCTGTGGGGAGGTCACCTTAAAAACTGAGCTAAAAGCTAGGGATCAGGCACAAGTGACAAGTGCCTGAAAGCAGGCATCACGCAGGGGTCTGGATTGCAGCACCAGCTCTTACGATCCAAAAGGCTAACATTTGTTCAAGTTCTGAGCAAAAACACACGTACCAGGGCAATGCACACGCCACCACCAGGAGTCACAGCCAGTGGGCCAGGGCTGGGGCCCCAGAACCACCCCCAGGTCAGCCCCGCTCCATAGTCCTGCCTGGCCCCCATCTGCCCTCGTTTCCACCTCAGCAGACCACGGAGGCATGAGAAGCAGCACCTCCTGGGGCCTCAGTTTCCCCAGGACAGCTTGGATTGCTTCTTGAAAACCTTAAAAGCACTCATCTGACTCGTCTTTTCTTTGGGATTGTGTCACAGTCTTAGGGTGAGAGGACACTTATACAAGAACTGCCTTCTCTCCAGTGCCGCACACACCGCGGAAACAGCACCACACAGTCGGGTTGCTAGGGGAGCACCCTCCCGGCCCACACTGCCGTTTCTACCACTTCATGTCTAAGCTGCTTACAGCGGGCCCAGTGCTGGGGAACGAGGTGTGCAGTGCGGCCTGGACCCTGGGAGGGTCGGCTCCATGCAGCCACTCCCGGTACAGCATCTGTACGTGCTCACTGGTCTCGGGAGGACGAGCCGGGATTTCTGCATAGATGCCCTCCATCTGCCGCAGCAGCGCCTTGTCCGCGTGACCGTCCTCAGTGCGGGCCTGACCCCGGCCATGCAGGCACCCTGAAACACACACAGGCCATGGGGGCTTAGGGGAGCTCCGCCTCACGGGAGGGTGGGTCTGCAGGAGAGGGCAGGGCGGTGTGTGAACACACACAGGCCATGGGGGCTTAGGGGGTGCTCCACCTCACGGGAGGGTGGGTCTGCAGGAGAGGGCAGGGCGGTGTGTGAATACACACAGGCCATGGGGGCTTAGGGGAGCTCCGCCTCATGGGAGGGTGGGTCTCCAGGAGAACATCTGGCTTGTGTCCCCACAGCAGGACGCAGCTGTTGTGCTGGGCAGCGGCTTGTGCACAAGATGCCATGGTAAGGGTCCACAGAGCCCGTGATCACAAAGGGAGCTATATCCCCATACACTGACTGGGGGGGTCTTGAAAAGTTCTCTGGTTCTGGCAGCTGTTCCCCGCTTCGCACCTTCCTTGGTCACCATGCCCATGGCCACATGGACACAGAGCTGGAGCAGGCCTCTAGAAGTTGGCGGGCCCTCCTTATCCAAAGATCCCGACTTTAAGGCCTTACGCATGTGACCCAGCTAAACCCCACCATCACAGCCTGACGCTGCCCACTGACTCAAGAGGTGGCCCTCTCTCCTCAGGTCACAGGACTGCTGAGCAGTGTGGGCACCCGGCTCCCCTCATTGTTATCACCCAGATGTCTACAGACTCCAGGGCCCCAGGCCTTCCCTTTCTAACAGGACCGCCTAAGCCACTACTGTTCCCAGCAGCTCCCACTTTGCCCTGTCCTCCTCTGGCCTCCAAGGACCACACGGAGGCTTCCTGGAGCACGGTCCTGACCCAGTCTCTTGGACTTCCCACAGCACCTTTAGCCCCCACACCTGCACCTCCTAGAGCTGTCCACTGGCCCACTCCTCTCTCCAGGTGAATGTGAGGACGAGAGAGTCTACAGAGCCTATATGTGCCGTTGGGCTGCCAGTGCAGACGCTGAGGGCCATGGGACAGGCCCACTGTGCCCCCTGCTCACCTCCAGGACACGCCAGGACCTCCACGAAGTGGTACGGGAACTTGTCCTTCCTCAGCTTCAGGATCATGTTCTGGATGTTGCGAAAGCCGTACGCGGCGGCAAAGCGCAGCACAACCTGCCCGTCCTTCTCAAGGGTGGCCTCCTGGAAGTCTTTATTTCTACAAAGCCAAGAAAAGAGATTACCGACCCACAGAGCCCTTTATCAGCATCTTAGGGATGGCTTTCTCATCTGTTTAAAATGTACTCAAATTAAAAAGTCGGCAGACAAATGAAGACTGGCCTTTCACGCTTGGTACGTTAGTTAAGAAAAAGCCGACATGTGCGCATGCACACAGAGACACACTCAGAGCTGGCTTCCAACAACCTGCTCGGAAAGGCAAATGGCTGCCGGCAGTCACCCCGCTGCCCAGGACACTGCTCCCCTCATACCTCAGGGTTCGATAGGTGACCTTCTCCACATCCTCGCCAAATAGCTCCTTGGCAGCATGTCTAAAAACATGGGCCAGGTACCCATCTGAGCTGTCTCCGTCATGGCGCTGGACCTCTTCCTCCTTCAAGTCTCCAAACCTCGTGGGGCAAAAAAGATGCATTCTCAGGGCCAGGTGTTTGAGACCCCGAGCACCTTTACAAACACCTTCGCTTCTGGGAGTGCTCCTCCTTCACTGGGTCTGACTGAGCCCACTGGTGTCATGCTGTGACCCAGCCCAACACTGCAGGAGTTGAGGGGTCTTCCCATGGGGAAGGGGACTGCATAGTGAGCAGTAAGCTACTCACAAGGGGTTGATGCCCCAGCCCTGCTCTCACAGGAGGCATGTCTACTGCACTTTGGCCTTCGCTGTCATCTCCTCCTAAGGACACATGTCCCCCACCCCCACAGGTGGCAGAAGAGTTTGGGGACTGGCTAGTGTGATGTGGGTGGGGGCTGGGTCAGGCCTGAGGAGCTTGAGGGTGAAGTGCTACTGAGAGATGCGGGCAGTGTGCTGCGGGGTCCTTAGCAAGCCCTGAGCTTGAGGAGCCGGCACTGAGTCTGACTTCCCATGGAAGGCCCAGGCCAGGAGGGTAATAACTGGGGTGGTGGTGACTAGAAAACCTGGCACAGAAACTTCTGGGTTCCTCCAGTTCTCTGCTGCCGCTGTGCACCCTGGGAGGAACTCTACCCCTCCCAGAGCGTAGGCCTAGTGTGTTTGGCACCTCAGCCCTCGTCCTTCCATGAGAGGGACACACACACCATTCACACACTAACCTGGGTGAGAGGCCAGCCCAACCAGCGGATTTTACCGCTAATCAAGTGTGAGGCCAGTCATGACCCAAAGGCAGCCCCATAAGGGGGTTCAGAATGGGAGCCTGTCAGGCACGTGGCTGTCTCCCTCTTCCTGGAAGTTTTAGAGTCTGGAAGAGGCAGCCAACACACCATAGAAGGCTGCCAAGCCTCCCACGCTCCTGAAGGCCTGGTGGTACCCGTGTGCCTAAGCGCAGAGGACTGTGGGTCCTGGGAGAACCTGTGGTCTAACTGGTGTCTTCTCCTGCCCCATGCACGAGCACAGGGAGGCGGGAGCACATGGGTGTGACACCTGCTCAAACAGGACCGCCAGCCTACCAATGACCCTTTCCCAATGGCCACTTACAGAGTGTCCACAGCAGCATCCTTCGCCGAGAGGTCACTCTGCTCCATCATCTGGAGAAGTTCACCTGCAGACACACAGGAGACAGGAAGCACATCAGGAGTACCCATGGTCACTGTGGGGAGGGAGCTCCACGTGAGGGGCACCAACAACCATATCACGACACAATCCACATGCTGTGCAGACAGTCCAGTCACCTTGGAGTGTTCGTGAGATAGGACACAGGTAACCATATCCTGGCACCCCCTCTGAGACAGACACCCGCTAACAGAATACTGCTTGGGAACCGTGGAGGAAGGTCCACTTCCTTCTCCCGCCCGGGGCTGAGTGGCTTCAGCCAGTCCATCTCTGTGTTGTTTCCCAGACAGGACGCTCAGAGCAAAATAGCCTCCTGAGCACAGGCTAACTATGGTCACTCAACAAGAAGGTTGGCTAACATCCAAACACACGCCTGGAATTTCTTTGACCCTGACCTCTGAAGAATGCGGGGTAGAAAACGTGAGCCTCTGAAACAACTGTCGTGGGGTCAGATGGCTGAGTGTCTGAGACTCTGCACTCAGAAAACACTTCAGGATGCAGGTTCTCATCAGAGACCACAACACAGGTTTTGAGGTTTGTGACACCTCTGGGTGAGTCTCAGCATCCTCTGGGTGACTGCATTTCCGTCCCCACAGGCAGGCGGCATGTGTGCAGCTGAGAAGCCCTGACTGCTGTGTGGGGTCCTCACCACCAATGATGACACCTCCAGGGACATTGTTTTCAAAGCTCTTTGAAGCAGACCCACCTGGCTCTTGCAGGCTTAAATGACCCCTGAGTTTGTTTTCAAAGTTCTTCTGTGTGGCTCTTGGCCATTTTAGGGAGCCGTGTTCACCCCAATGTGCCCCAATCCTGCCGCAGGTGCTCATGGCAGCATCCAAGGCCAGTGTCAAAGCAGCACGGCTGTCACAAACGCCTAGCCGCCTCCTTACTTGGGAGCGAATGTTCCTGCCAGGCAGTAGGGACAGTCTCAAAGGAAGCATCACACTCCTGCCACACGCTGAGACACTCCTCTGAAGGAAGATCGAGAATGTCGGGGAGGCTAGCACTCACCTGATGTCAGCACACAGTCGACGCCCTGCGAGGTGTGCGAGCCTGCGTGCACATCTTCTCGGAGTGCTTCCAGCTTCTTGTCATAGCAGGGGCCCACGATCACATGGAAGATTTGATCTGGAGACAGGTTCTGTGGAGAAAGAGCAAGCAAGCCTGTGTCGGGCTGCTGGCCAGGCCTGTGGATGGAACACCGGCCAACAGACCAGCTCACTGTGCCACACCAGGAGCATGGGGAGCACTGTGGGCGGCAGAGACTCGGGCGAGGAGGAGGGGCGCTAAATCCCTTCTCCCCTGAACCTGACGCCCATGCAGTTAGACGTGAGGAGACGTGTTGAGGCATGTTCACTCCCGGATGCTGCCAAGCCTCCCCCATGGTGGCAGTCAGGGCCGGAGAGAAGTCTGCCACCTCCACCCTGAAGCCATAGTCCTCATGGGCTGTGGGTACCCAAGGCCACTCCCCTATCACTATCAACTCAGGCAGGAGGGTCACCACATGCTCTCCCCCCACCTCCCCCTCCACAGAGGCCCCAACAATGCCAGGGGGAAATGCCTGTTCACCTGCTGTCTGGCAAAGTAGTCCTTCACCAAGGAACCCATGATCTGTTGGGGGGACTTGGCAGTGCAGAGGTGGGGGGTGATGGGGCTCCCCAGCACCCGCTCAGCGTACCGGACCCACCCTGGGGAGACAGATGGATCAGGACACAGTGCGGCTCTGTTCCTGCCTCAGGCTGCCCTCCTGCCCGCCCTCCATCCACAGTGTGAAGACACCAACTGCAGCTGCGGCCCCAGGAATGATGTTCGGTCACACCACAGTTCCTTCACCAGAGAAATTTGCACCCGCAGTGGGGCGGGCACAGTGCCGATGGCAGTGGGCAAGACTGGGGACTCAGTGGGCCGCCCACAGTGGTACAGTGCCCTCAACTCCAGGACTTGGCCCCACAGACCCCCAGGCACCACCCTCTTCTTCTATGCAGCCACTTCACAGGTTTAGGACCCTAATTTCCCCATTCTCCCGGAATGGAGTTGCCTGTGGCGAATCTTCCCTATAATTTGTGCAGCGAACACTTTACACTGAAATGAATTGAGGATGCTGGCTGAGTGCTCCAGATGGTGCTTAAGGGTCGGCGGACAGAGAGACCTCAGTCTGTAATTATGACTAAGCGAGTAAAGGACACCCAAGTGCTTGCCATATTGTTACCTAGAATTGTTGGGTGGCCTGAAACATACAGCTTTAAGAGAAAACAGATTGAATTACCATAAGTAATGTTTGCCTCCAAAACTTCAGAAATACAGAGAAATGAAACCTCAGCTGTCATGGTGCTCCCAAGCCAGCAGCGCTAACGCACTAGAGACAGAGTGGGCATCAGGCCCAGCGAACAGCCAGCTCAGGTAGCACTCACCGGGACAGGCGGAGGTCAGCATGGGCAGCGCCCGCTCACCCTCACTGTGCTGCTGGTAACGGCGCACAAACTCCTTCTGGCTCTCCAGGATGCTGAAGTCGGCAGCGATGGTCGTGTCAAACACATAGTGCACCCCTGAGAGAGACACGATCATGCTCAGCTTCTGGCCCTGCGACACGATCCACGCCAAGACCAAAGTAAGCATGGGTTTACTTATGCTTACTTACTAATGTGCAGTGAACAGTTTCACACGTTGATTGATAAAACCCATGTGACACTGTTCAGAACATATTAGTAAGTAAGCCCGTGCTGATGTTTCTGGCTGGGCACTCCATCTCAATCAGGGATTGTGAATTTGAAAGAGGCTCTGATTCAGTAAAAAGAGGCTGTGGAGTCGGGAGTGAGAGAGAATGCAGCCTGATGTGGTGAAAAAATGTGAAATTGTTCACTACAGATTAGCAAGCGAACACAAGGAAGCTGGACGATTGCCACTCCCTGCCACAGGCATCTCTCCTTGGCTACTTGGGCCAGTCCTGGTTCTTTTCTGTTAACAACTGCTTAAGTGCAGACCGTGTTCACGGCTTGCTTCTCTAACCCATTAACACATCGCTCTACACAATAAGACAATTCGTGCACTTGTGCCCCTTCTCTCTCTGCCTTTATTTATATAACCCCCTCACAGTGCCCCTGTATACACTAAAGGGCCACTAGGAGATGCTGGGGGTATTCTCTCCTGATCCACTGGCTAAATTAAACTCACTCTGGGATGATTTTTAATAGTTTTAAATAAAATGACCAAAATAGATTGTTGAACAAACCTTTATGATTGTCTTAATTTTTTAAAACACCAATCTTACTGATTTCATTAAAACACACACAAAAAAAAAACTAGTGTGGTGAGTTATATACACACCCAAACATTTCCCATGTTGACCATTTTTACATGTAAAATCCAGTGACCGTTACATTTACCACGTTCTACACCCTTACCTCCAACAGTCTCTAGATGTTTCATCAGCAGACACTCAGCCGACCGTATACAATTACTTCCCCGGCCCCTGGGCACCTTGAACAATGGTCTAAATTTGTCGATCTTTAACTAGCTCCTTTTTTTTTTTAAAAAAAAAACACAAATACTTTTTTGCAGCCCTGGTGTGGCACTATAGGAAAACACTGGACTGCTAACCACAAGGTTAGTGGTTCAAACCCACCAGCCGTTCCTCAGACACCCTATGCAGCTCACAGTGCTCCGCTCAGAGGACACTACTCCCCAGCACAGGAATGTCTGCGTCCACAGGGCCGAGTCTCCAGAGTCTCTTTACCTTTGTTCCTTTGCCCTAGTCTCAGAAAAGCTTCGTGGATCCTGCAAGCTGAGCAGCCAGGCTATCGGCACGCCCTCAGCTCAGTCACACAGAAAGGGGGCCCAGGATGAGTGACCATCTAAGGTGCTATTATTGGTGTCCCTCTGTCCAAGGAGAAAATGAAGAAAATCAAAGATGCATGGAAGCAATGAGTCTGTCTAGTGGACCACGTGAACAGTCTCTACGACTGAGACCATTCCATTACTAGATGGTCCACGGCTGGCACTACCCACAGCTCTGAAAGACAGCACGTTAGAAGGTTCTAGATAGACGGAGAGGAGAATGTGGACCAAACCTCAGAATCTTAAGAAGACCAAGCTGACTGGTTGGATAGAGACTGGTGGGACCCCTGGGACTCTGGCCCTTAGCCATCCTTCAGGTCCGGAACTGAACTCACCCCCAGGCTCAGTTTTCAATCAGACAAGGCACAGCTCTATAAGGGGAACAACACCCTGACAAGACTCCATCTTTAAGATCAAAAGGGCAGCGTTTACCCAGGGATAAAATTCAGAGGGGTTAGGAAAGGAGAAGGAATAGAAACAGGAAACCCAGGGAGGGAGTGGGATGAGTGAGGTTACACGATGGGGACTGCAATCAACGAGATGAAAGAAAAGTGTGTGTGAATTATCAAACGGAACACGGGTCTGCTTTGTAAACCGTCACTCAAATCACAGTAAGTTTTTTTAAAAACCCACAAAACCCCGTAACCTGCTAATACACGGGAGGGGCTGCCACCACTACAGTGACAGGAAGACTAAAGGATGGTCTGTTTGGTCAACTTTTAATCAGTTCACACTAAAAAGAGTGTCAAGAAATCCAGCCCCCACCCCAAAACAAGTCCAGCAAAGGAAAAGGAGAATAATGGCTGTACAACATGATGACTATAATCAAAGGCACTGAATTATCCCTGTAAAAACACTGAACTTAGGATTGTTTTGTTATACACATTTTCACCACAGTAAAAAATTATTCTAACAAAAAAAAAAAGAAGAAAGGGGCACAGGACCAGTCGTTACCAAAGCAAAAACCACAGAAGACTTTGTAGTTATTCTAGGCCTTTCGGCTCTCGTGTCCCACCTCAGGTCCTGGATTCTACTGCTAATCTACCACCTGCCAGTCTTACCTAAAGGGACAGCCCATTCCTGATGGCCCCACCTCCACTAAACTGTCAGCCAGGCCGCAGCCCCGTGGAAACAACACCCGTTGAGGTCGGGCAGGAAGCAGCTCCCAGCACGCCAATGCTGGGATAGGCATGGAGTTGAGTGAGTCCTTCCACGTGCCACCAGCCAGACTGGCTCTCTGGGGCTCGTCGGTGCCCTTGCAACTATAAACACGAGTTACAAATTCCTGAAACATCCAAAGTCAACTCACCCAGACTTTTGAGGAAGCCACTGAGTCTTCTGGATGCATCAGTCACACTGAGGTTGAGTTTAGCAGCAAAATAAGGCAAAGACTGAGGACACACAGACACTGCCAGCACTTTGTGCTTTGAGGTATCGCATTTCTAGACGGAGAAGAGAATAATATGTGGGTGTGATGGTAATGGGGCGTGGAAGCTAGACAGCTCCTCACTGAGAACCGGGGAACAAACAACGTACTAAGTGTTCCGTGGAAAGATGAATAAAAGGGACAGACACTGGCAAGGATAGTTAGGAACAAAAACATAAGATTAACAAATGGGCAAACTACAGATCCAAGAGACTGATTGTAAGAACAATGGTGGTGTTGTTAAGTGCTGCCAAGTCAATTCTGACCCAGAGCGACACTGGATAGGGTTTCCAAGGAGCAGCTGGTGAGCTTGAACCACCAATCTTGCAGTTCAAACGACTTTGCAGTCTGACACATTAGCCCACAGCCCCACCCCAGGAGTCCTTAAGAACAAATGTGAATGCCCAGAGGAGAAATTGGCAGCATTGCCAAGCGAATGACTGAACTGACCCAACAGTCATGAAAACACACACTCCCACCCATGCACACAGAGACACACACACTGAAATACAGGCTGAGGGCTCCCACGCACGTTCACACGTGCACATTTACTCACACACACACCCCTCAGAGAGTCACGTGCCGCTCGCTCACCTGCACATTCCAACTCACACAAACACATTCATGCTAACCTGTGTACCCACAGCTCACAGGCAGACTCACGTGCATTCATACAGCCCTTGTTCACACATATCTTCTCGCATATGCATGCACAGCCCTCCCCTGCATGCTCACGCCTCACATGTGCGTGCACTCATGCTCACACACACACCACACACTCACCAGGCTCGGCAGAGGCTTCACTCATCCCTCCCTCCCTCCCTCCCTCCACCCTCCCGGGTGCCCGATGCCATGTGTACCTTATTGAGGTTCAGGACGTGAAAGAGGTCCTTGGCATTCTGCTGGGAGACCCGAACCCCTTCCTCTGCAGTTATGCACCTGTCACACGCCAGACAGGCACTCAGAAATATCTTGGCATCAGCCAACTTATGGAATTCTCCCTTCTACAAAAGAAAGACACCATTTTGCCAATTCTTCAACAACTGTTCTTTAAAACGTGTCTTTAGTAAGATAACAAACAACAAAAGTACGTTTTATAAAACTGCCATGGACCCACTTAGACATTGGCTACCTAAAATGAGGGGGTGATAAAGGTACGAAGTGACTGGCTTACAAGGTTTCAAGAGGGAGTTTAGTGTGGGGGAGGATAGAGTTCCCATTGAATAGTTGGGTCTAGATGAGTCTGGTGAAAAGAGATGGGGATACGATTCTTAGGATTCAATAGTGAGAAACTGTTATGACTAACTGCAACTATCATAACTGTAAAAATAGAAGTTTTGTAAAAAAAAAAATAGGGGGGAGTAGTTAATCTTATAGCCCAGGAACAGAGGACCCTCGGACCATCAAGGGAGAAGTGCACGAGCGGAATGTGCAACCCTATCCAGAGAAACAGCAACACCAGAGATGGAGACAGAGATGAGGACATGGAGAGAGAGAGCAGCTAAGGGCTCTGTACTCATGGAAGGAGAAAGGCTGTGTGCTGGTGGCCAGGAGGCAGGCTTGCAGAATGTGCCCTTTGGTTGTTTAAATGAATATATATTCCTGAGTGTTTTTGTGACTGTCTCCCCACCTCCCCAAAACCAAAAAAAAAAAAAGAGGGAATGGAAGCAAATACTGTTGAATGATGATACATGGAAGAGATTGTAATCATTGAAACGAAACGAAACGATGGTGTAAAGCCGGAGTTCTCCCATGTAAACTACCACTCAGTTCACAATAAAAAACGAAACAAAACAAAAAAACCTGCCATGGACACCTAAGACAACACCGGAGCTCGAAAACCCTCGAAAACCTATACAGGGTTGCTATGAGTTAGAACCAACATGACGGCACTTAATAACAACCTCCTTGGAGGCCTACAGACCTAGCCTCCCACTTCTCTCACTGCAACTCCTTGCCTTGGGGAACATGCTCACACTTCTATTCTTTGCTCTGCCTCTATCTCAGAACACAAACAACTCACTGCGGCTCTGGATGTGCGAGGGTGGTCTCACAGTGCCCACATGACAGTGATGCTAAAACCTTCCCAGGTCTCTGCCCACCTCCTGTCCCAATAAAGAGTGACCCCACGCACCCCACTGCTACAATCCTCAGCACCTGGCCCGCAGCCTCCACAAGGTCTCTTGACTGGCACACCTTCCCCACTCCAGCCCCTTCCTTGGTTCCCCACCTCCAACTACTCCCACCCTGCGTGAGGCCCAAGGGTGTGCACTTGTAGCAAACTCCTAGATGAAGACGAGTTTAGAGCATGTAGCCTGGCCTGCAGTAGGTAGTAAGTGCTGGTGGGCTGAACTGAGCATCGAGGTACCAGAACCATCCACAAAGAGGAACCCAGGCCAGATTCACACCCAGGCCTGGAAGCAGCTCCGTCTGACATCATCGCCCATCCTTACTTCTGGAAATGTCTGTAAGTCTGACTCCTGCCCCTCTTCCTTCTTTCTACTGTTTTCTAAGTGTTCTGTAGAATGTGGATTCGGCACCAGTGTGGTCTCAGGTGTCTTGTTGGTGTTTGGTGTCTGTCTTCTCTCCAGATGGGACCATCAGCCTCTGCACCCACTGACCAGAATAACGCCTGCCAGGCCCCTGTAGAAAACTCTCAAATCTCTGACTTTGGATGTGTTTCCCCTCAAGCTCCATGGTCTAAGACTGAACTTCCTCCTCATCCAGGCCTCGTCCCTTCTGCCTGGGCTCTTGAAGGTGTCTCCCAACAGCATAAACCTGCTGTCTCTGTCACCTGCCTCAAACCACAGCTGAGTCTGTTCCCGACCCCAGAGCCCCTCATTGACGATGCATTACCATTGGCCTGGCCGAAGGGAGCCTTAACCACCCCACTTCCCCAGACCATCCCATGCTTAGCATGTCCCCCTTGAATGCTCACCCCAACCTTTCTGCAAAGTGTCTCTGCTCACTGAGCTAACAAGGGGCAGCTAAGTCAGCACAAGCCTTATCTCCCCTCTCCACACGGTCGCCACCTCCTCCCCAGTACTGGATAAGGAGCTGGGAGCACAGGAGGTTGGGTATCTGTCCCAGGAGTACACCTGATGCACTGCCCCAGGCACTACCTGCACCAGCTTCAGGGCCCAAGTGCCCCGGCTCTCCCTCCCTCCTACCCTGGAGGGCAGCTGTTGGGTGCTTGCTTCGTGCCCCCCTCCTCCTCCCTAAGCCTTCACACACCCTGAATCCCAGGGCTGGGCGCAGCAGGACTGACTCCTGGGTGAGCGCTATTTGGAGTAAATGCCATACTGGGACCCTAGGACTGTAAGGAAAATACGAGTGGGTTTCCAAACGGTTCACGGCAAAATGACCTTTATCTTTTCATTCCATTTGTCCACAAGCTTTCTGAAGGCCCCTCGTATCTCGTCCTCTGCTGCTTCTTCTGGAAAGAGTGCCTCCACCTGTGTCCACTGTGTCTTTCTCTTTGTAATGCAGGCTGACCACTAGGCCTGTGTGAGACGAGACCAGGGCACATGGCCCCTGACAGCATGCGTAGCACAGGACACAGAAGTTACCAGCTTACTGGTATTGTTACCAAGTGCCAGCGAGTCAGCTCTGACTCATAACCACCCTGCATAGGCTTTCCAAGGAGCGGCAGAGGGGCTTGAACTGCCAACCTTGTGGTTAGCAGTCAGGGCTTATCCTATAGCACTACACCAAGACTACCAGCTAAGGAGGATGAAAAACCTTGGTAACAGAATTTAAAAAGAAACTCTGGCAGAAATACTTAAAAATGACTCATTTAAGCCCCCATTTGATAAACCGGAAGTGATGTTAGACCCAGGTCCCACACTCCTAAAAGTGGCTGGGGACACTTTTAGGAGGAAGTGCACTGCTGACTGGCTTCCGAAAAGTCCCCTTTGGTTTCACTTCTGTGTGCCTGAGTCCCTGCAGGGGAGACAGACAGGAGGCTGACAGGCAGCACTCCAGTCTCATTGTTGTCGTTATGAGCCGTGGAGTTGGTTCCGACCCATAGAGACCCTGTACAGGGATTCCGAGGCTGTGAATCTTTACAGGCGCAGAAAGCCTCATCTTCCCTCCCATGGCGTGGAGGTTGGTAGTTTTGAACTGCTGCCCTTAAGGTTCGCAGCCCGATTTGTAACCACGAGGCTAGCAGAGCTCCTTTCTAGGCTGATAGAAACTGGACACATACTCACTTCTTCCTTCTCCAGGGCCGGACTTGTGGCATCAACCAGCGCATTTTCTTCCTCATCAGCTTTCTTACTGCATTCCTTAAATAAGGCAAAGCGGTTAGGGTTAGGGAGCAGCTTTCAGACTCACGGAGACTGACCCGGAGCCAGCCAACCGGGTCTAACCATCGTCCTGTGTTCCCCCCACCCACACACACCGAAGTACAGGCACGGCATCCCCAACCAACAGGACAGGCGGTAGAGGCTGGACATGCACACGGCAGCCAGGCCAGGAACCGCGGACACACACGGACACACACGGACACAGGGGCAGCGCGGACACACGGACACACACGGACACAGGGGCACCGCGGACACAGGGGCAGCGCGGACACACGGACACACGGGCACCGCGGACACAGGGGCAGCGTGGACACACACGGACACAGGGGCAGCGCGGACACACGGACACACACGGACACAGGGGCACCGCGGACACACACGGACACACGGGCACCGCGGACACAGGGGCAGCGTGGACACACACGGACACACGGGCACCGCGGACACAGGGGCACCGCGGACACACACGGACACACGGGCACCGCGGACACAGGGGCAGCGTGGACACACACGGACACAGGGGCAGCGTGGACACACGGACACACACGGACACGGGCACCGCGGACACAGGGGCAGCGTGGACACACGGGCACCGCGGACCTTGTGCTGCTCGGAAGGGCGGCCAGGAGCTCCAGAAGCAGCTGCCGCGGGGCCGGGACGCGGGGATCAAGTGTGGGAGCCCCGCCGTGTCCCCACGGTCCTGCAGTTCCCCAAAGAGCGACCCCACAGCCCGCCCGGCTCGACTGCTGCCTGCCCGGGACAGAGACCCGGCCTGGGGAACCGCAGGGGACAGTCCCCTCTGTCCTGCCGGTGGCTGGGGGTCCACTGCCGACAGCACTGGGCAGAAACGGACGGTCCGGCCCAGCCTGGCTCCCGGCACCTCCGTCCCCGCCACAGACCCGCAGCTCGGCGCCAGGGCCTCACAAGACACACGGACAGACGCACGGACCGACCCCCGGCCCCTCACAGGACACACGGACTGGCCCTCGGCCTGTCACTGGACAAGCGAATCGACCTTCGATCTTCTCATAGGACACACGGACCGATCCTCGGTTCTCTCCCAGGGCAAACGGACAAACCCTGACCCTGACCCCGTCCTCGGGCCCTCGCCTGCCGGCCCGGCCCACGGTCAGCCTCAAGCTGGCGGCGCTCACCTTCCGCGTGCAGTGCTCACACTTCATCTGGAGGTCCCGGGGCGCGGGCTGCGGGCGCAAGGGCAGGGCGCCAGGCCCTGAAGGAAGCACTAGGGACGCAGGTCACCGCTACAGCCGCCCACAGCTCTTTGTTGTCGTCGCCCCCGGCGTGGGGGCGTTGCGGTCTCGCCCCCACACGGCGACATCTAAGCCAATAAGGGCTCCTGGACGGGGCGGGACAAACCTTAGAGCCAATCGAAACTCCAGAAAGATGGTACAGCACCACCCCCAAACGGCGCGTGTAGGCCAATAAGTGCTCCGGAGAGGAGCGGGACAGCTCCTGGAGCCAATCGAAGAGCGTGGGGGCGGAGCCCGGAAGCCGAGGTGACCCAAGGACTAGTTTGTGCGTGCGTTTTTGCCTCTCGGCGGTTGGTTGGGGACTTAGTGGGGAAGTGGCATAGGAACTTGGCAGGCCCGTTGGCCCTCGGAAGCTGTGACCGGGCCGGCCTTGTCAGCGAAGCGTCAGAACATCGTCCCTCCCCGACTGAGGGGGCGCCATATTCGCCCGAGGGCCGCCGACATCGCTGTCTGGTGGCGCATTATGTAGGCGCCAAGCTGGTCCCGCGGTGTCACTCAGCAGCTGAGGCCATTGCGCAGGCGCAAGTGCGCGCTCGCGTTGGGCCACGTGGACCGTGTCCCACAGCTCGAGGGCAAATTTTCAATGGTGGTGGCTTGATACTTGCATTCATTCAGTATAGATGATTTTACCAAGTACACCGATGCGACTTTACCTTACATTTTACAAAGCAAAAAATGTTTCAACAAGAATTGTACTTGTTAAGACTTTTTGATCACACAAGCAAAACTTGAAATCTTCACAGTGGGGAAGAACACTTGCAAAAGGTGGACTGTAAGTTGCAGAATCAGGCCAGGGAAGTCCTAATGTTCTCAGGACTGGTTGTATCAGTGCCACCTAAATTCGTGATAGCATGGATTTCCTGACACAAACCAAATGGAGTTGGTTTCGTCATTGAGTCGCAAGTGTTGTTGTTAGATACCATCGAGTCGGTGCCTATAGAGACCCCATGTACAACAGAACGAAACACTAACCGGTCCTGGGCCAACCTCACAATTGTTGCCACGCTTGAGCTCATTGATGCTGCCACTTGGCCAATCCATCTCGTTGGGG